TTTGTCTTCCTCTTGAGGATTCTATTAGTGTAGGTATTTTTGTTGATTGTATTAGGAGTGATTAGAATTTAATTCTAGTTATTGCTAATATATCATCAATATTTATGCCTTGCTTCCCTTTCTTTGTTTTCTTTTCAAGTCTCATTTCTTGTTCTTGCATTTTGGTTGTTATCACGGAGGAATCGACCAATTTCGCATTGCAGCCAAACTTTCTTGTGCGCGTGAGTCTAATACCTTTTCTTGCTCTTTATTAGCCCACTAAAGGATAATTGTAAATAAAGTGAAAGAAGAAGTTTTCGTCCCAATCAACGAGGAACACTCTCCTTTTTTAGATACCCAACCTTTTCTTCCAACAACTAGAATATCTCAAGCTTCTTTAGAGGTTTCACAACCATAGTTAAGCAATGTGCCAAGAACAGAAGGGAAAAGAGTCGCATTAATCCAATTCAATCTGATAGTATCACATAAGATCCGCAACTCTTATTGTTCATGCGAGTGTGATGGACAAGGAATAGAATCATCAATTAATGAATGGAAAGGGATTATAAGAATGGCTGGATTGGCTTAAAAGCTAGCTTAAAAGTATTTTTTAGCTAGTTAGAGACAACTTTTAAGCCAAGTGCTTCTTGGCCCAAACAAGCTAAAAGCAACAAGTTAGGAATCCCAATTTTTTTTAGCTTAAAAGCTGATTGGGTTTGACCATGTAATTTATCCTTTTAACCCTAATAACTTTTTATTATTTAAAAAATCCCTTCAAAGCCAAAGGCCCAACGCTATTTTCCTTTTTCTCCTTCTCCTTCCACTGTTCTCATCTTTGTCAACCATTTGTAATGCCGTTTCTATGGCATATCCCATTTTCATATCTACTGTCTTTGGTTCCCCATTTTTTTTTAGTTTTTCTGTACCGCTTTCACTTTTGCGATTCTTTCTCACGCAAACAATCATAACCACAATTTTATTTTAGTCTTCCATGTTTGATATTATATTCACAAATAATTATTTTCTTGAAATTCTTTATGTTTGAACTGTTGCGTTCTTTTATTTTATCAAACAAACGATGCCATAATTGTTTATCTAGTACAAAAACAAAAGCACAAAAATATTCTAAATGTAGTAACTTCAATATGAAAAATTGTCTAAACACAAATAATTTTTTCTAAAATTTTTAAAGAAAATTCTCCCAAAAAAACATACTTAAGTGTTAACGACTTTAAGGATATTTCAATCATTTAACAGAAAAAGTTCTTACCGTCACTTATTTACCAAATACTTCAACAATTTTTTCCAGCTTCAACACTTTTATTCAAACATATAACTACTTATTTATAAAATAAGCTCAAACACTTAAAAAAAGTGCTTTTAAGCACAATGCTTAAAAGTCACTTTTTTAAGTCAATCCAAACGAGTTTTATAGATTTTAAGAATGGCAAGAGCAGGTTCGGCTCTAACGTTATCTGTAGTAAGGCTTGTGCCTTAGGCCCCCAAATTTGGGGGACCACGTTTTTAAAAATAATAGGTATATAGGTATTTTAAAAAATATTGTTTAGTACTTTATACCGAAGTAGAGTTTTTCGTATAAAAGGAAAGAAAATATTTTAGATATAATAAAGCAACAATTTGACTTACTTAAAAATGAATAGAAGAATAGCTCTCCCAATATTTCAATTTGAGTTGATTTGACAATTCATTTTTACTCTTCATTAATAACGTGTAAAAATTTTACTTTCCCTTTCTTAATTTGTCCAAGCCAATTTTTTCCCTAATCTCTTCATATTTCAGAGACTCCTATATATTTTCTGTCTTTCTATTTGATATTTTTGCTCACTTTCTTTCTACAAGATTTCATTAGTTCAAGTATTCAACAGTACTTTTAAGCTTCTAATAGTTATGTACTCTATTGCTTTATAAAATCTTATCTAAGTTCAACAATGTCCCAAGAAAGATTAAACAAGTTGGATATATTATTAATTGAAAGGGAATTATTAGAGAAAATCAATTAGTAAAAAAATTATTAACAACTTTGTATCTCAAAAAGTTAGAAGAATAGACTTCAAATAAAAATATATATAACTTTATTTTAAAAATTTAGCCTTATATTAAACTTTGGTTTCAGTCCTCGTATGTGCTTGAGTAGTCGGCCTTGGATAAGAGACTTTATTCCACGTAAGATAATTTGAATATGTTAATTCAATAGGCACGAATCCTTTGATGTTGGAAATAGTAGGAGGAGAAATGGGATGACCAAGACTAGATTGAAGAGTTGCAATGGAAGGTGAGGAAGGAGAAGAGGAGCCCATGAGGTGTTCTTTAAAACAAGGCTCTTAATACCAAGATGAAGTAGCAGCTTAGAGAAAAGGGACGCAAACATAAGTAATATGCCCAATGCATATGTGAATTTTAGTAGAAGTACAACAACCATATAAGCTCTTATAGATACGTACAACATATTGTAAATTATACTAATTATCCTAACAAAAGTGGCAAAAGTTGACATAAAAGAGAGAGTATGTATATTAAACGGGAACTAAATTGTTAATGAAACTAACTGAATAGTAAGATATAAAAGTAATACGGTTAGTAAGGAGATGGTTGTTGGAGTTGAATATGTGTCATCTACGTACAAGTCTTGGCATATTTATAGCTAGGACTGGCTACTAGGCAATAACCATTTTCCTTGTTGTGTCCCTATATCCCGTTTGAAAGTTCTTCATATCTTGATTTTAAACATATGCTTATCGATCCCGTTATTTGTGAAGAAGTCAATATTAACCAATTCTTTCCGGTTATAATATATCTTTCCTTTTACATGGACAAATATGGTAACTATTTCTTTGTCATCCTAAAGGCAAACACAAGCCACTCAGCCCCAACTGCCGGCCGCATAAAAACTTTAAACGCTTTACATTGTATAGGGTAAATTTAGTTTATATTAAATGATCCAATGATAGCATGACACGTGAAATCGAAGACAAGTGGAAGACAAGTCAAATAAGAACTAAAGCCGGTTACAACAACTGCAGATGGTATCAGATAGACTCCGAAGGGAGCATAGTCAACGGGAACAGATCGAGTATTTGCCACTAGATGTCATTTAATGAAGAAAATTTCCTAGTTTTAAATGGACAGCCATTGCAGAAAATTTTGGCATTCATGGCTTGCCGTTACACATTCATCAATGACCCACTTTATTGTTATTTAAGAGAAGCTTGATCCTACGATCTTCTTTCCTAGGTATAGCTATAAATAGTGACTTCAACAACCATTGTAGGACACGAAATCTCTGGCAAAATTTATGCTATACTTTGTTCTCAAGCAAAATAATATAACTTTACTTTTTGTTGGATATTATTCTTATTTCTGCCCTCAGAAGCATCACTCTCGGAGCTAGGCCTGCCATTTCCTTCGATTTTAATGCTAAGTCTTATTTTTAATTTAATTTATTTATCATTTTAGATCAAATCAGTTCGCTTGGCGCCCACCATGAGGCTTAGACAACTGCGTAATTGAGTTGATCCTTGCATCTGTTACTAACTCTTTTGATTCTTTGTTTCATACATAAAAATAAAAAAATGGCAGCTAACGATGTCAAAATTACACATAACATTGAGGCACACGAAAATCTACCTCAGCATGAGGATTCAATCAGTGACACCTGCAACGAGGAGGACGTGGAAACTCAGGTCCATGGCGGACAATATCCCCGACATGTGTGGGAGACGACTCTTGATGATGCTGAGGATGAGCATGTCGCGTAAACGGTAAAGATCTTGAGAGAGCAGCAAAAGGCCATCATAGGCCATCTTTCAAGGCAGGACCAAGTCATGACAGAACTAAAGCAGACATTATCAGGCGCTTCCAACAACGCAAATGGAAGATGTCAAGTTCCTCCCAGAGCTCCTACAATTCAGACGACTCAAAGAGTCGATAATAATACCCCGAGGGGTGAGGTCGGTTTCGATGGAGCCAGAGGATCGGTAGCGGACAGGTAACGACAACAATAATGATCCCTTCAAAACCGAACTCATAAGATTCATGAGGGAAATGAACGAGCTGATGGGTCATAACGCGAATGAGTTTCACACTAGAACGGATAAAATTTCGGGCGCACAGCCAGTTTTGAAGGGCCCGGATTCGAAAAAGTACACCTAGTTACCGTTCAAGCCGAGCGCGACATTAGAATTGATTTTGAAATGGATCAAAATACCAGACATACCAAAGTATGATGGGACTTCAGATCCTCAGGAGCACATCACAACATATACAATGGCTGTGAAAGGAAATAACTTGGCCCAGCATGATATTGAGTCGGTTCTGCTGAAGAAATTTGGGGAAACCCTCACGAAGATGGCACTAACATGGTATTCACTTCTACCCGCGCACTCGATAGATTTTTTTGAAATGCTCGTAGATTCTTTCATTAAGGCCCGTGTTGGGGCCAGGAAGGTCCTAGCCCGGAAGGCGGACATATTCAGAATTGCACAAGGAGAGTCCAAATTACTGCGGGAACTCGTGCTCAGATTTCAGAAAGAAAGAATGCTGCTACCGGCCATACCAGACGAGTGGGCAGCGGAAGCATTCACTAAAGGTCTGAACCTGAAGAGCTCCGACGCCTCCCGAAAATTGAAGAAAACCCTGCACGTTCCAAGCGACCACATGGACATATGTCCATAACCGTTATAAATCAAAGATAAGGATAGAAGATGATTAGCTCGACTTCCCAACATCAACCAAGGAGCGGGACTGAGATAAGAACCGGGATAATTTCAAGGATGATTTTTATGTAGACCGGTAAAGGCCGATTCTTTCCTTATGAGAGAGCCAAAGGCCGCGACAACAAAGGGTTTTGATCCTCGAATAGGTTTATTCTTGATAGAAAAACTTACCGCGGTCAGAACAATAGGTCGCTACAAGAAAAAGAGGTACCGGGGACCCGAGATTCTTTATATCCCAAGTTGTCAAATTATAACTTCAACTTCAATGTATTGGAGCTGGTATCAGCAATGAGAAACATTAAGGAAGCATGGTTCCCGAGGCCAATCAGATCTGATCCCAGCCAGAAGGATCCTAACTTATGGTGCAAATATCATGGAACTCATGATCACAGAACTGGAGATTGTCGACATCTATGCGGGGAGGTGGTAACATTACTGAAGAACGGCCATCTCAGGGAGTTCTTGAGCGACCGGGCCAAGAACGATTACGGTCGCAGCCGAGACAATATAGAATCCTCAAAGATAGGGGAGGACCCTCATCGACTACCTATCAACATGATTTTCGAGGGGAATGAGATCAACGATGTAACTTTCTCGGCAGCTGAGAAGACAAAGGTATCGGTGACTCACAGCAAGAGACTCCGGGAAGTTTTCGAAGACAACATCACCTTTATGGAAGAAGACGCCGATGGGTTTCTTCTGTCGTACAACGATGCCCTATTAATTTCTTTTAATGTTCTAGATTTCAAGATTAAACGTGTTTTAGTTGACCTAGGAAGTTCAACCAACATCATTCAATGGGGAGTACTGGAACAAGCCAAATTAATTGGAAGCATCATTCCGGCAACAAAGCTCCTCGCTGGGTTCAACTTAGTGAGTATGACAACCTGAGGGGAGATCCTGCTACCCACGAACGTCAAAGGGGTCACGAAGACCGCCTTATTTGAAGTGGTAGATGGCGACATGGGTTACAACATAATTCTTGGCAGAGCATGGTTACATGAGATGAAGGTCGTACCATCAACATATCACTAACTACTCAAATTCTCGAATCCCGAGGGAATCAAGAAAATAAGAGGAGATAAACCGGTAACGAGGGAAATTAACACGGTATCGGTTTCCAGTAGTAAAGGGAAGAAACTCAACAAATAGTAATTACAAGAATCGACGTCTAATCTTGAGCCAAGCGAAGATGACAAAGGGGAGGATTCATCAAAATCCCACCAGGTACCGAGATACTTTCAGGTACCAAAAGAGATAGACGCAACCAAGTCCATGACAATGGAACTCGAACAAGCGGCTTTGTTCAAGAAATTCCTGGAGAGAAAATTTCACTTGGGTACAGGACTCAACCCCGAGCTCAGGACAGAATTTATTAATTTCCTTAAAACTAACATTGATTGTTTTGCTAATCGCACACGAATATGACAGGTATCCTGCTAGAGGTGTCCATGCACAAGCTAAGCCTGGAACCAAGCACCCCACCGGTAAGGCAGAAAAAGCGCCCAATAGCCTAGGTCAAAAATAGGTTTGTTAAAGAAGAGGTAATTCGGTCACTTAACATCGGTTCAATCCGGGAGGTAAAGTATCCCGACTGGCTAGCTAATGTGTTGTATTTCCAAAAAGGAATTATAAATTTTGAATGTGCGTAGATTATAAAGACTTGAATAAGGCGTGCCCAAAAGACTCGTTCCTACTGCCGAACATCAATCAAATAATTGACGTAGCGGTCGGGGACGAGTTAATGAGTTCCTCGATACCTATTTCGGGTACGATATAATTAATATGAACCTAGAGGATTAGGAAAAAACTTCGTTCATGACGAACTTTGGCATATATTGTTATAATGTGATGCCTTCAGGCTTAAAAACGCTGGAGCCACTTATAAGAGGCTCATGAAAAAGATGTTCGAGAAATAAATAGGTAAAATACTGGAAGTATACATAGATGATAAATTGGTCAAGTCTTTGAATACATCTCTATTTAAAACACCTCTAAGAAACTTTTGATATCCTAAGAAAGCACAACATGAAACTCAACCCTAAAAAATGCTCGTTCGGGGTTAGCTCTAGTAAGTTCTTGTGTTTTCTGGTGTCACAAAGGGGGATCTAGGTGAATCCCGATAATATCAAAGCTATCGAGGACATCTCAAACCAGCTAACAAGTGTGAAAGAAGTCCAAAGGCTAACCGGAAGATTGGCCGCTCTAAGCAGAATGCCAAGAGGCCTTAAAAACCTAAAATGTTATCTATCAAGCCCTCCGCTACTATCAAAATTAGGGAAGGCGAATAGTTGCTGATATACTTAGCGACCTCAGAGCTAGCGGTAAGTGTCGTTCTAGTCCGAGAGGACGAAGTTACGCAATCTCCTATCTATTATGTTAGCAAATTTTGTTAGGAGTAGAAAATCGTTATCCGCACCTTAAAAAATTGGCCTTAGCACTCGTAATTGCCTCTCGAAAGGTTAGGCCTTATTTTCAGTGCCACCCGATAGCTGTGGTGATAACCTTTCCCCGATGTCCTTCACAAACCTGAGTTGTTAGGTCTGTAATGGGCAGTTGAAATTAGTGAATTTGATATTGAATATAAGCCTAGGACTGCAATCAAGTCACTAGTTTTGGCTGAGTTTATGGCCGATTTCACTCCTGGGTTACTGCCTTTGGCTGCAAAAGAAGCGGTGATGGTGTCAGAAACAATATAAGGAATTTGGAACTTGTTTACGGACGGAGCTTCCAATGTGAAAGGGTCCGGGATCCGGGTGGTCCTAATCACGCCCTCGGGAGAAACCTTGAGGCAGGTCATAAAAATTGTTCTTTTAACTAACAATGAAGTTGAGTACGAGGCATTGAATGGAGGACTCGAACTAGCCCCGGAACTTGGCTCAGAGGTCATAGAGATCAAATATGATTCGTAGCTGGTAGTAAACCAAGTATATGGGATCTTTGACACAAAGGATGAACGCATGAAATAGTATGTGACTAAAGTTCAATCTTTGCTCACACGGTTCAGGGAGTAACCACCCACATCCCGAAAGAAGAAAATGTAGAGGCAGATGCATTGGTCAATTTGGTGTCATCCATGGAGATGAAGGGATCAAATTTCGGTACGTTCATTCAACTTATGCATTCGGTACTGGATGTGGACGGTTATTCTGAAGTAAATACAACCAACCTAGTCTGGGGCTGGAGAAATGAGTTCATAGATTACCTTCTGCATGGCAAGTTTCCCGAAGGCATCCCGGGCACTCCGTACCAAAGCATCTCGCTACAGCCTTTGGGGTGGACAGTTATATAGAAGGTCATTCCAAGGCCCGTTAGCCCAATGTCTAGGAGCCTCGGAGGCAGACTACGTCATGAGAGGGGTTCATGAAGGAATTTGAGGGAATCATTCCGATGCAGGTTCATTGTTGCTAAAATTAGTTATGGCAGGATACTACTGGCCCCCGATGGAACAAGACAAAAAGGCATTCGTTCAGAAATGCGACAAATGTTAGCGCCATGCACAATTGGTACACCCATAGGTAGAACTTTTTTTGAAAGTTTGATGAGCACGAAGTGGTTGACTTCCTGTGGGAAAACATAATTTGCCAATTCGAAATACCGAAGAAGATTGCATGTATAACGGGCCACAGTTCATAGGCTCCAAAGTCACAAAATTTTTTGAAGACCTGAAGATCAAGAGGATTACATCTTCACCATACCATTTGAGCATTAATGGGCAGGCGGAACCAACCAATAAAATGATTATTCAAAACCTCAAAAAAAGGTTGGAAGCAGTCAAAGGAAAGTGGCCTAGTGAGTTACTGGGCGTGCTGTGGGCGTAATGGATGGTGGCAAAATCAAGTACGGGAGAGACACCTTTTTCTCTCATATACGACATAGAAGCTATGGTACTAGTAGAAATAGGATAATTGACCTAGCGGTACTTTCGAACAGACGAAGAAGCAAATAATGAGGCATTCCACTATGGGATGGTTAAATAATCTTTGGCTCGATGGCAAAGTTCCTAATGGGAAACGAAGCTTGCCATCGGACCAAAGATTATTCAATTGTTCACAAGTGTTTTTCTTTAAAGGATCAAGACTTCCCGTGTTCCAATTTGCATACTTCGCATTCAAAAAATGGAGGGGAATAATATGAGAATACAACAATATGATTGCCATGAAAACTGGGACTACGATATCTGAGAACAATAATGTCTCATCAGGACCAGGGACTGTACGGCCAGCCCTGTAAAAATAAGTTCTACTAAATAGCCACATGTATTGGCAATTTCTCTTTTTTAGCAACCGAATGCTTATGTATTTTTAAATATGGAAGGAATAAAATAAAGTCGCTTTGTTTTATCTTGTTTCTTGTCCAAACAATGAATTGATTTTACCATTTGAAAGTTAACTAAAAACTTCAAATACTAGTGCCGGAATGAACAGGAGACGTCCTCCTCAAGAGCACCGTAAACATAAGAGGGCCATCTCTTATGAAACTTTCATAGTAAAGGGTTGGTTACGGAAGAGTTTATTCCCGGAACCTGAAATCTATCGGAAGAAACACCCGAAGCCGTACCTAATTCGACGCAAAAAAGAATGAAATTTCTGCAATACTTAAGCAAAAAGTCCATTTTATTTATCAAACATGCCAAATGGAATAAGTGCAAAAATACAAAGGGAAAATAGCAAAAGGAAAAAAGGAAAAAACTAAACTTCATCTCCACCAAAACTTGAGGGAAGAGAGGTATCTACGCCCCAGGAGAAGTAGGTGGATCTGCTAATGGCAATTTTGACCTTCATCGTCATTCTTTTCAAGTTCCTCCTTGGTTCCCGAAAATTCAGAATTGGTAATCGAAGAATCAGTTGCGTCAGGCTTAGCCGGGAGACATTCTCGAGCAGTTAACTCCATTACTTGGGCTTTGGCAATTTCATCATCAATATCAATAACGCCCGCTTTGTCTTCCTCCAAGGCTTTCCCCCATATGTTACATAGAATATGTCTTTTCAAAGATGAAGGAATCCCCTTGGTGCAGGAGCTTTGCCTTGAGCCTATCAACGTCAAAAAGACATCTTGCTCGAATCTCATGGCGTCGAGGCTAAGATCGAGATCACGAATTATGGTTATGTGAACCTTGTTTTCATCCAAGATCTTCTTATACCTATCTTCCATCCGAGCTCGCTTCTCCTCGGTAGCAGTAGCCTCTTCGGCTTTGGAGTTCAAGGCTGCCTCCAAGTTATTTGCTCATTCAAAAGAGGTAGACTCGCGCTCGGTAGCAGCAAGAGCAGCATCCTGGGACTCACCCCACCTAGCCTTAGCATCTTGAAGTTGAGAATGTAGTTGAGTGGCTTCTTGACTGCGAGTCATCGCCTCCTACTCACTTTGTTGCAGCCGAGCCTCAAGCTCGGTCGCTTCAGCAGCCTTTGCCTCTAGCACTAAGAGGTATGTAACGAGTTGGTTCCTCTCGGCCAACAGCTGTAAGCACGTGATTTTTGCTTTACGAGCAATCGCTCCAAAAGAAAATAAAAATAGTGA